CCATTGAGGAGGACGTTAAAAACCACACTCCTAGTCGAGATTTCCGCGACAATCTCACGAAAAATGAGAGGCAGGCCATCGCCAATTTGCGTCAGCGTGATGATATTATCATCAAACCAGCTGATAAAGGTTCTACCACTGTCGTAATGGACATTAAATTCTATGAAGAGGAGTCCTTAAGACAACTAAACAATCCTCTTCACTATCGGAAGCTCACAGAGGACCCCACTCCGGAAATTTCTAAGGAAGTGGAAAAATCTGTATTAAAGATGGTTAAAAAAGGTTCCATCGATCCCAAAATTGGACCCCATCTCATCCAGGTCGATCCGGCACCAGGACGTTTCTATGTCCTGCCCATAATCCACAGAGCAGGCCATCCTGACAGACCCATTATTTCGGGCAACGGTACTGCTACAGAAAAAATCTCAGAATATGTGGATGATTTATTGAGACCATATGTTGTTGCTCTCCCCTCGTACATTCAGGACTTTATCCGCAAAATTAACCAAATTTCAAATTTACCTAATAATACTGTTCTGGCTACACTTGATGTTTCTTCATTGTATACTAATATCCCTCATGAAGAAGGTGTTAATGCGTGCATTTCAAATTACAAGCAAATTCGGGGCAAAACCCGATCTAAATCACATCTCCGTGAACTTATCATGCTGATTCTGATCAATAATAACTTTGTTTTCGGCGACGGTTATTACCTTCAAATTCATGGCACAGCAATGGGCACCAAAATGGCTCCATCTTTTGCTAACTTATTTATGGGACAATTTGAGGCCAATTTCCTGATACGTATAAGAGACATGTTTGGTTTCGCTACATTGATGATATCTTCATGATCTGGACCCATGGTGAAGATATTTTGGATACGTTCCTATTGAACATTAATTCGGCTCATCCCACAATCAAATTCACTGCTAACAAATCCACAAGTAGTGTAGATTTTTTGGACATTACCGTGACCATGGAAAATGGTGCACTTAAAACTGATCTCTTCCGTAAACCCACGAACAAGCATATGTACCTGCTCCCTAGCAGCTGTCACCCCCCGCACTGCACAAAAAACATTCCGTACAGCCAAGCATTGCGCATGAGACGCATTTTTTCTTCGGATTTTCAGAATCGAACAGAAGAACTATCCGGACATCTCCAGAATAGAAATTATCATCGAGGACCCATTGAAAATGCTATAAAATTTACGCGTGCATACTGTATATGGACCGGTTTTTATAAAAATACATGTCTGTTTTAGATTTTAAGTTCTAAATGTTAATTTTGGAAGAGGTATTGCTCGAATTTGTACTTGAACAAAATTTAAAAAAAATATTTTTAAAAATGCAGACCCGATTTTTACAAAAATTTCAAGGAGGACAACACAACAATTATTTTTTTTGGTCTTATAAGCTTTAAAATAATTAGGTCTGTCTCTTATACACATCTAGATGTGTATAAGAGACAGTATATATATATATGGATTAAAAGGCAAAATACTGGAAAACAACAATGCTGCGGGAAACAATGGCTGGATCTCAGTCGAGATACAAAAATGATAAGCACTCGGAGCCTTGTGCTACAGAAATATGATAATGTGATTAAACCATTATTCACATGACTATCAAGTGAAAATATAATAGCAATGACATTATTATTGTCCAGGTTTTAAAATTAGATTACATTTATATCATATGCATTATATACACAATTTTGTCACCCGAAGACTATGGTGGTGAAAGTTAGTGGAAAAGTAATGTCTTATGAGGAACAATTTAATACGGTAGGTCTGCAGTGACAAAAATATTAAATGTGTTTTAGTTGAATAGTTTAACTGTTCAATCTTTCTCAGAAGATAATCCATAAATATCCGTTTTATTACAGGATAATCAATTTAGATATATTAAATTTCTTTTCTCCCCTTTGTTGAATATATTCCGTACACAAAACATTGACAAACTTTGTTTGCATCAAACCCGATTTTGCAGTTTGCTTTATTGATACGACTGATTTGGAATGAGTGGCTGTTGGCCTAATCGAACGTGTATGAAAACTTTATCATCGATTTGCTAGGCTGTCCTTTTACATGCTTCACCAAGTTCCACAGGTTTATGTTAGTGGTAGTGTCCAAAACAAAAGACCTACTTTCTGCTTCATTAAGATTTAAGCTAGAATATAGCACAGCTGACATTAATTTGAACATAGGCGCTAATCGCAGACGGTAAAACCTCGACATTCGCTTTGGACTGAAAACGTGAGATAGTCATACTGTGCGCCAACTATTGACCAATAGGTGTTACTTTATTGACATCGTTCCACCGACTAAAATCAATGTCACACAAATTATTATGTGTTTATTCTTAAATGCATAAATGGACATTTAGTTTTTTAGCCGGAGGCTATAATTTGGAATTAAAATCTAATTTAACCACTTTGAAAATCAGAGCAAATTTGCAATAATGTCTTTGCAGCGTAGAGGAATGTGTGTATTGATTTGTCGTTCATCAAGTTCCGTTCGTTCAATCATGGTGTCTGAACCGACCTGGGCATGATGATAGGCATCCTGACATAGCATTTATACCTCTTATAAAACACAAATCGGCGTTAAATTAATCCTCAGCATCCATTTTCGAAGCTAATATATTATATACTGTTAATTTAAAAAAAAATAGTAACTTAAATAATTTAATTTGATTTTACAACTGGCACTCAAGTAACACTTTATGCAGACATACCAAGTTATATAGACCAATTAGGACAGTCAACGACAATATCTTAAATAATGACCTAAATATCAATGGAGTCAAACCTGGAAATTGATTTTAAACCCCCCAAGGTGAAAAGTCGTTCAAATGCATAGCCATAATTAACGAATTAAATTTCCATTTGTGTATTCTTTAAATAATGTTCCTCTTCAATAATTACAAAGACGGGTGTAATATTTTTACAAGATTTTACTTTCAATTCCTACATTTCATAAACATGCCACAAAGCATAATATAGATTGTTAGGTTTTATTTATAGGACTTGTTTTCATAACTCGAGCATGTCAAATCGAAATTGACATGATTCATATATATCTCGACCTACTCTTGAATATTGTTTTCGGTTTGCATCTAATAATAATAAATATTCAATTCCTCGTTCTCGGATTGATATATTCAAATTTTAATTTTTTTTTTTTTAGTCTTAATAGCTTGGTTTCCCCAACCCCCTGTCAGGTAAAAGGAATGACTTCATTGGGTACCTTCAAATTTCACTGTTCCCTGCTTTAGAAGTAGTATTTTACTTTCTATTGACCCTTAAGGATTAGACTATATAGTTGTTTCCCCGCCACCACCCCCCCCCCCTATCCTTTACATTTGTTTATTTTGTACCTGCAGGTTAATGTAATCCGTGTCTGTACTAGCTCCCCATCTGTGTTAAATGTATTTAAATATTTCGTGGCTGCAATTTTATGTAAGGTGAGCGTCATAACCATTAGACCATTTAGAATCTGTTCAACGACGCTCGCCTTGACAGCGAGAGGTCACAGGTTCTAATCCCGTCAGAGGCATTTTATTACACAATTTTTTTATATATTTATTGGACTACATTCGTAGAGAGATGCTACACGATGTATTATGTCCTTTATTCGAACAATCGAACACTTATATATGTATGTATGTATGTGTATATGTATATATGGAAAAAGTCATGCGGTCACAAGAATTGAACTCATGACCCTGGGATTAAACGGCAAGCATATTAACCACCAAGCTATGCACCATATATACTAATTTTAGTAGTTTTTGATGAGTTTTCATATATGATGTATTATCAAATGGGGTCTGGTAATTTGCAGTTTTAACCACACAAAGACAACGGTGATAAGCAGGTGACGGATATAACTTATTATGAAGGTTCTATAGCACCAGTCCTGGTTTAAAACAGGATATATGCGTAAATAGATACTTCCTTTGATATTTGTCTTCTAATTGCTCATTTCACTATAATTGAACGATAATTCTACCCTCAAGAACATATATGAATTGTAGAAACACTGCCAGTTGGCGTCCCGGTCCAATTAGCAACGTTTCTATAAATATCGGTACACGCTACTGGCCGACAGCTTTTGGCGACGCTGATTGGCCGGTCGAATTAGGGATTTTATTGCAGTGAGAACTTTGAAGTTTAGAGATTTTATTGAAACATGCGTCATAATTAATGGTGCAGCACCGGTTGTACATGCCGCCTGAGTCACGGAAAATTTAATTAGTCAATGCATATTCTGATCAAATACTTCACTTTAAAATACTACACCTAACTTTCAACTTAGTCGAGTTTCTCAGACAAAATTAAGTCAAGTTTCTCGTAAAAAGTTTTATTGTTTTCTGATTTTAACAAGAGATGAGTCATCAGAACATATATTCCACACTCTTTCGACGTCGTAATGTGTTCGTTTTTCTACTATTTGGCTCATTGTTACTAACGTGTACTATGTGTTCGTTTTTTAACCTCTCACCGATGGATCATGTCTATGTAAGTTCAGATCATTTTTACATGACTTCGTATTGTGTTTGTGTTTGCATGAATTGCGGTTCCCAAGTAGGGTCGTGATTTATTTTATCCTCCCAAAAAAGAGCGAAGCTCCAGGGAGGTTATTCATGTTGTTATTGTCGTCGTCGTTGAAAGTAAATTATTTGTTACTACCAGTAACTAAAGTTTGGTAAGTCCGATTGGTTTTAAACTTGGTAGAATGTAAGATGGTAATAATACGACGGAGTCTATTGTTTTTGGTACGTGTGTGAATATGCTAATTGCTCATTTGCATAATTAATATTTCAGTAGTCAGGAATTTTACGATCACAAAATTTTGGTAGGTCTGGTTGTTTCAAATAAGGGTAAAGAGCATTTCTTGTTATTCATCTACTTTACTATATGTTAAGAGGGTAGCTCTCTTACAACACAAAGCTGACAACACAACTAAAATATACCATGAATAAAGAAGAAAATCAAATGTTTATTATTTCTTTATTCTGCAGGCACTTTCAGTACATTATGTGCTGGTTTCAATGTGGTCAGTTACAAAACAAAGAAAACAACACACAAAACAAATCAAAAGAAAATTTTATATACAATTTTGGAATAGAACTAATATCATTTCATTAAAGTTACCGTAATTATTGTTTCCTTTGGAAGTTCATTCCAACTTTTTGATATAGGCCCTACGATATAAAAATATTTTGTTTTACCTTGGCATATATACCAAAGTGGTACAATTAAATCATTATGAGTTTGGGTACGTGTGTATTTTGAATGGATATTGTGATTAAAAAATACATTAGATAAGTATGGAGGGGTATGTCCTTATAAACATTTGAATTCATTGTTCATTCCTTTTTTTTTCTCCAGTAAGTAAACTTAAAATAAAATTAATAAATAAACAAGAACACCATGGCCGCAGAATGTAAAAGAAGAGGATTGACTGAGTTTGAGTTGTGATTTAAAGAAAGAGTTAATTAGGAAGGAATGATAGTTCAGGAGTATAACTGATCTACCCATCCGGTCATGCGACTTTCCGCTATGACTATGCCGCCGCTGTGGTGGTAGTATGCCCCATCACCACTGGCTTAAAAAGGCAGTAACAGGCCTATAAGAATTTGTTTAATTTTTTTTTTGGTACTAAGCAGTTCACTCAGAAACACAAAATTAATAACGTAGAAAACACAGTATTTTTAGTTCCAACCTTTCGAATTCTGGCACATTTATTAGCTTTTTTATTCATATTATTCGATCGTTCTTCGTCCGCCTATCATGCCTACCTATTCATTCATTTATTTATTCGTTCATTCATTCATTAAGTCAGTCAGTCAGTCATTCATTCATTCATTTTTTATTAATTTGTTTATTCACGATATTTAGATAGTGTGACTAATTTAGCAACACAGCTTGACAACTTAAAAATACTGGTGACAACATATACAATTATTAGCATTACAAAAGCTAATTCATTCATTCATTCATTCATTTATGCACTATATTAAGACAGGGTGAACATTTCAACAAGGCTGATTTACAAAAGATACCGGTAGATATCGACAATATAAAGCTAAAACATACTAAATTATTAATCATAACATAAACATCTTAATTTTAGAAATCATGAAAATATATAGCAACTAATTTTTCAGATTATCATTACATTTTTTATAGGATGGGGAAGGCATTTTTAATATCAGACATTTGATTGATTGATTGATTGATTGATTGATTGATTGGTGGTGTTGGCTGACGTTATATCACATTCAACAATTAAACTCATTACCCATAAAGTTGGAATGATGTTTTTCCCAACCTGACGTATTTATATAGTCAGCTGTGAGGTTTTTCATAGGTCTTATTTCAGTATCTAAGCTATTACAGCTCACGAATTTACCATGAAACAACGTATAGTGCCTATTCTCTATATTAAATAATTATTAATTACCAAGAAATCAGATGACAAACCACTTTTACCATTTTAATCATGCCTCTACAGTTTCAATGTTGATTATTGGTAATTCCTGTATTAATTGTTACACTTTTTAGACTTCAGTTAATATTGATTTGTACTTTAAGTGTTTTTATTTAATATTGAATTTTTCTTTACTGACTGTTGTTGGCCGATTATTTTGCTGAGGTCGTCCGAGTTTTTAGCACCTGTTTTGCCTTTCTTTGCATTTTATATGAAGTTGTCCTATTTTTAGATGAATGGGCGAACTTTAAAGAAGGAAATGAAACTTTATTCCAATTAAATGTATGTGAGTACCATAATGGTTTAATAATTAAATTACAACGAAGACCAACTATCAAGGTTTTACTATGAATGTTTATACTGTATTGACTACTAATATCAATGTCAGATGATGAAGTTATAATAGTAATAATATAATAATATAATAACATAATATAATAATAATGATATATAACATAATATAATAGTAATAATAATAATATAATAAAAATAGTAATAATAATAATATACCGTAATTATAATAATAATAATAATATAATGAATAAAAAGTATAGCCGCGTTATTCTGTACAGTATAGAAAGTATAAAGTAAAAAACAGCAGCACTTTTGAGACTAACAATATATAATTTATTCTCCAGCTTTCGTCCACACAGTGGACTTCATCAGGAGACTGTACAAATGGGATAAGAAACAACTATAATATACAACTGAAATAATGGGGGCGGTCCTAAAACAACAAAGAATGGTGTACAAGTCTGCCGAAATAAGCAATCTTAATAAACAGTATTAAAAGAACAAAAAGGTCAATGATAAGAAACTGTGGGAAATAGCATACAGAATAAGTCTATGTCAAAGTCAATGATAAAAACAGTAAATAGGCAGTAAATACAGTAGGGTAACTATGAGACAAAAATATAGTTATTAATAAGGCAGCTATAGAAATATAAAAATATACATACAATAATGAGAAATAATCATTGACGGTAATGTGCGAGGAATCCTCGATCAATGTTAAGGCCTAGTTCTATACAGTCTAATTGTGTAATTTTTTTCTGTTCAGCTATTTCTTGTTCTAAACTATTTTTGAAAAAAATCTTTCTTAACTACTTGCACTTTCATATTCTTAATTGAGTGGCCACTCAATTAAGAATATCTTAATCTTCTTTTGAATTTTGTGCTTACGTATAAGCAGAGATTGGTGGTGCAATGTTTCGGCCAATTTTCCTATTTTATCAATCCTGAAGCTTACAGACGTAGGCCTATATATATCAATCCATGTTGAATTTTCGTACACTATCGCTAAACCAAAATATCTTATAAATGTTTTACTTGTTCGAAACATTTTCCGTCGACATGAAATATTCAGGACATCAGATGAAAGTAGGCCTATAGTCTGGTTTCGAATTAGCATGACTTTCGTTATAACTGCATATATTTTCAAATTATTTCCAACATACCATTTACAAATATTTTCTAAAATATTTGTAATTTTTTTTTTATTTAATCCATCAACCTCCTGCAACATAAATAGCAACACTCCCTCGGAGAGCTTGAGTTTTGTTCCACAGGGTTTAGTCCAATACCGGGGATAATACTAATGTGAAGCGCTTAGAGCCCTTGTTGGCGGCCAAGAAGCCATGAAAAGGCGTTCACGTATCGGCCGTTCACCACTATGTACACATGTAAATCGAGAACTAATTGATTAATAATAATAATAATAATAATAATAATAATAATAATAATAATAATAATAATAATAATAATAATAATAATAATAATAATACAAAGATAATTCCCTCGATAGCAGCTGGAATTGGGGATTTATTCATCATGTAGAAGACCATATTAAAGATAAGATGAGTTTATTGTCCATTATAAAAAGTGGAAATTCGTTTCCTCTTTTCCAATTTAAGACAAATGAACAGATAAAAGTGATTAAAAACACGTGAAAGTACAAGATGAGATAAAACAATTTTAAAATACATGAGTGAAAGCACATGATTCTCAGGCGTTAGTTCCACGGTTTGCCACCAAAAAAAAAGAACTAATAGTACAATAAAATGACAAAATTAAAACCCGGAGCAGGAGTCAAATAAATTTGCTGCTTCTTAAAATTGTTTAAAAATTAAATGTTAAAAAAGAGATAAGATATTAAAATTGATTTAAAATGAGTAAGTGCTAACGTATTGCATATCTATTATAATAAAATCGTATTATCTTTCATTTCTGCACTTAGTCTAAGCTCTACAAACGCTTTCATATAATTCTTCCATTGTTTTCAGATCGATATTATGTACTCATCCACTTGCTCTACAAGCTCGCCGTGAATAGTGAGTGGCATTAGGACAATGGGTACTTTACGGCACTCTATTATCATTTCCTTAGTTTAAATTTCGTTAATTCATCCAAGTAAAAAAGCCTGATCGTTTTTCATGTAGCAAGTTATAACAGTATCATCTACATATTTTATGATTGAACAACCTTGATTATTGCTTTTACAATCACTTGTGTATAACGAAAATAATATAGGTGAAAGGACATCCTTGCTGCGCTCCAGTATTGATTGTTCGTACATCTGATTTTAACTTCAACAAACTGTGGTCTGTCCCTGAGGAAAGATCCATAATAATAATATCTGGAATTTATAAGGCGCCAATTCCAAAAAAGATCAAAGGCGCACTATACAAGTGTGATACCCTCGGAAAACAAAAGTAATCTTAATTCGCGATTTAAATAATACTAATGTGATACTAATGTTCTTGGCCGCCTTGTTGGCAGCCATGAAGCCATGAAAAGGCGTTAACGTTTCGGCCGTTCACCACTATGTACACATGTAAATCGAGAACTAATTGATTATTAATTGTTTATAAAGTCTGTTGTTGCTTGCCTAATAAGCGTTGGCCTAAATCCAGCAGAACAAAGGTAAGGAAGTGTCTTCACTTCTCTATTATTTAGACGCCCGTTGTACGGCGTGGTGGGGATTTAGAAAAATAGATATGAACGTTGAGGCGCGCTTTATACAGCTGAATGGATTTTCCCAATATTCAAGATAGATCAAACAATTAGCAAACACGGCTAGGGGAAGCAAGTGGTGTGGACTCTCATGCATCCCCTACCGCCAAATCCTGCATCCGCCCAAGCATCCATAAGAAGATCTACAGTATTAAAACGATGAAAGCATATAACAATTAAGTGGTACTTCCTAAAAGCATATTGGTAGGCCTAAATTTTCTCCGAGATATGTAATAACTTGATCTTTGTGACTTCCTTTTCAATTGGCTATGTGGCATACCACTGAAATTGGTCTATATTAGGGCTTTTTACCTTTGTATATGAGGGTGTCATTGAGACTTTCCAATCGTTTAGACAACCATACCATTCATTATTAATTCATTTATAATAGAACATTCGTGATATGTCGTGATGCAAGTTCAAGTTTATAGCCAATATCGAAATTATGAACATCAAGGTTACAGTATACCCTATTTTTTGATAAGCATGCCAAATTATTGTTTTGCAATATCGCCAGTAAGTGTCGTAAAATTTTGTGTGTAAATACAATTTTGGGTCCATTCTGCTGTGTAATTCATTATTGATTTATTTATAATAGAACATAGAGATTTCGCGATATACCGTGATGCAAGTTTAAGTTTATAGCCAATATCGAAATTATGAACATCAATATGTTACAGTACTATTTTTAGATCAGCATGCAAAATTATTGTTTCAATATCGCCAGTTACAAGTGTCGTAAAATTTTGTGTGTGAATACAATTTGGGTCCATTCTGTTGTGTCTTCTTTAATTGCGTTTGAAATGCCTGTTCCTATATATTATAAAATAATCGCTAACATTTTTACAATCAAGATTGGATGAATATTGTTTGAATTTTTGTTTACACTTTTCACAAAACCTTTGGGATCTGAGTTTCATGTCATAACATCTGTTTTTCTCCATAGAGGGCGATACATCTACGACAACATGAAGTACCTTTCCCAACTTCGTCAGATAGGCTGATGGGACCATTATTTACACAAAGAATCCCAGACAGTGAATTTTACATTCCAAATTACACTATGCCTCCAAAAACAAGAGTCACGGACGCGAGACGTTGTGTGTTTTACATCGAAAATTTACAAGATTCGTACAATCTTTGTGATAAAATTCACGTTATAATTGAAGCACGTGATCATTTTAACTATCAGAAGCGTAAAGGAGGTGACTACTTTCGCGCCAAAGTTTATAGCATTACGTCATTGGCGAGTGAGTCTACTGACGGGGAAATAGTAGACCACGAAAACGGTACCTACAGTGCGTTCTTCACCCTTCGATGGAGCGGGCCTACATACATTGAGGTGAAACTAATACACAGCAGTGAAGCAATAACAGCAATAAACAGAGTCCAAGCAATTTACCCCGTTAGGATGGCGTACGATGGAAAGTTTCAAATCGGAGACATAATTCACACTATGAGGTGTCATGTTGAGTTGTCGTCCACAAAGGAACTCTGCAACTACACTGATGTGAGAACTGGGGAGCCATGGTTTTGTGAAAAACCCATTGACTTGCCCTGCACAGCGTTGATGCTTCATAGAGGAAACTTGAATAAGGGTAGAATCGACACGTTATCGAAATTTACGTCAGAAGAAAGATTATTTTTTAGGTATTTTTTTTCTATAATTAATTACACAATAGGCCTACTGTTACAACTTCTTATCGAAAGTATTCCTAATATATTTTAATATTTATAATTGGAATTCCACTTTACTCCACCCTATAACAATAGTGTATTGTAACATAATATAATCTCAAATTTAGGAACATTATATCCAATCTGGGTATTTTGAAAGCATTTTTACTTTAAAATGTAATAATGCCAGTAACCTTAAACATAAGTCAGTAATAGTTATTGCTTTCCATGAAATCATTACAAAGAAACGACGAAAAATGATCAGATATAAATATAAAACAAAAGCAAGTTCAGAAAAAAATCATAACCCCATACTGCGTTAAAGCAATTACACATGGAAAGCAGATAATGATCATTTAAACCCAAAGGCTTGTTTCAGAAAGATTCCCCAGATACTGATGATGGTGATGATGAAAATAATGATGATGATGATGATGTTCATGATGATAGCAGTGGCAATCATAGTGAATATGACAATAACAACAAGAAAAGCAGCAACAAAGGCAACAGCATTGTAAACATCACAGCGTGGTTTATACAATTTTCTTTCAGACCAAAAACGATCATTGGTGCAATCAAAATATTCGTGAACACTTCAGGTAAGAATAACACAATTTTATAGTCGGTCGCTTTGTGGTTTTTAATGGAACTTTCCGTGTTTTGAATTATATTTTGTGTCAGGGACGTACCAAATGGGAGTTGTGGGCCGAGGCTTCCCCCACCCTTTGTACTCAGTGTTAGTACGGTATTTTAAAGCTTGTTTTTGCTAGCGAATACAAATTCTTTCCTGAGACTCCTACTATATCATATGTTTGTGACCAGTGCTCTGATAGAAACCCACAATAAACGCCTATAATTAATATACGATACATAAACATAATGCAAAATATAACATTTTCGGGATTATATAACGGCTCTACCGCTCAGGGAGTGGATTTATCAAACTTGTTTAACTAAAAAATCAACTTAAATTCGTCTTAAATCCATAAATCCCAGGCCAGGTCTTTTAAGGAATGTGATAATATATAGTTTTGTTTTATCTTTTTGCAATTTTTTATAAAGTTTTGTTTAATAATAATACTAGTAGTAGTAGTAGTAATAATAATGGTGATAATAATAATAGATAAGGTAATAATATAAATAATACTACTAAAAAGTGAAGAAAATTGTGTTAAAAGCGAAAAATAAATTTGTAATTATATCATTATAATTATTATTGTAGTTAAAGCTTAGTAAGCTATAGTTAGGCCTAGTTGTTGTGGGTTACCTAGATCTCTATGTTTATACTGAAAAAATGTCTGGAGAAATTTGTTTGCGCTTCATTTTGACTGTAATGGTGATGTGATGATGATGAATTTTACTATATAAAAGTGTCATTTCCGCCCATCTAGAGGTACTATTTCCTCAAATTTTCTCACCTCAGCCCAACCAAGGTAGGGCTGGAGTGGTTGTCGGCTGACAGCTTGGCATGTGTAAATTAAATACATCAAAGACAATGTTTTTAAGTTTTGTTTTCTATGATAGTCCTATATTACATATATCACATATGAGATCGCTATGGTTGCTGAAGATCCCTTAATAATGATCATGAGAAATTTGTTGGCGATTTATTTTGACATATATAAAACGGTGATATGATGATGATTAATTTTACTATATAAAGGTGTTATTTTCGGCCATCTAGATGTACTATTTCCTAAAATTATCTCACCTCAGCCCCAACCATGGTGGGGCTGAGGTGGATCGACCCTACTATATCTGTGAAGTCCCTCCCTAAACATGTGTCTATTGCAATTTTCACTTTATACACTAAAAAACAGTCCTAAAATCTCCCAGGGGTCTTCTCCCCTAGACACCCCACCCCGTTGGGAGGGGACAGCCCCTCCCACGCCCGGTCCCTCACAAGAGGCACCCCCCTCCCCACCCTTCGAAAATCCTGGCTACGTCTCTGGTTAGTGTCCTTCTACCAAACTTTAGTTTTTACTCGATTCTTTTTAATTTTGATAAAGCCTAACTACCAACCTTTGGTTGGTGCTAAATGTGAAGTTCAGATTTCGATTTTGCTTACCGACAGAACCAAACCGACTTGTGAACAAGTCACTAGTAAGATGGGAAAGCATTAGATTAATAGTATTGAAGGTTCAATGTGTTAAACTAGTATCTTCCTTTTTTATTGTGGTTTAAGATGCCTGTCTTCCAGTGTCATGGTAATGAGTTCAAATCTTCTTTTTAAAACGAATTTAAACAGCTCAACTTCATTAATTTTATCATGGTACTTTTGGGGCTTGTTGAAGAACAGTAGGTTAGTATATAAACTGAATAGGTTCCTCGGTCTAAATTTGAAAGATGATAAAATAAAATATGTTAAAAACCCTCGTCTTTGGTTAAATTAGACGTGTGAAAAAATGTTAATTGGTACAGCATATTGGGCCATAAAACTTATTTTTAAGCATTTAGTATTTTTATAGTAACTATTTTTTCATTATATTCATCCGTAATTTTTGTTGCAGATGAGAAGACATTATGCGAAGAGTCACCAACTATATGCCAACCTATACTGCATTCAGCTAAAGCCGACCAACAATTAGCCTCTGGCTTTTATTTCAATGATAGCTGGCACTCTAATGACTGCCGCCTTCAAAATATTGATGTCCAATCAATTTCAACCTCAAAATGTTTGACGAATAAGCAGTTTTATTTTTACGGAGACTCGACAGTTCGACAGTGGTTTGAATACCTGGTTCAATATTTACCAGATACATCTCAAATTGACATTCCAGGAGTGAACGCAAAGGGCGGACCTTTAATTGCAAAATCTGAAAAGTACAATATCAAATTATTCTACCGCCACCACGCGTATCCGATTCGTAACAGCTGGATGCGTGTAGAAGATATCAAATGGACAGCCAATGAAATTGACCAAATTAACGCAGACGGTAATACTGTCATCTGTATAAATATGTTTGCACATTTTGTACCGACAAGTATCGACGTTTACCGACGACGATTATTAACAATAAAATCAGCATTGTTAAGATTATTCAAAAGAAGTCCGAAGACACTGGTGTTCTTCAAAAGTGCAAACACAAGGGATTATCACGGACCCGAGGGGTCGGTGAATTACGGGGATTGGTTAGCACTTCAGTTGGACCAAGAAATGCGGTTGGTTATGGATTGTGTTCCAAATCTTACAATTATTGACGTCTGGGACATGACGAATTGTCATAGGACAGGAGAAGTTATTCATCCACATCAGCTGGTCATCAGGGAAGAAATAAATGTCCTACTGTCATTCATTTGTAGGCCTACTTGATTGATCTGAATTCCGTGTAATTATTGGAACTTTGATTTGGTTTGTTTCAATACACATTATAGGCCTAAAATTCAAGGCATGGGGAAAGCTACAGCGAGCAACAATGATCGGGATGCAAGTGGGACACGTTTCATGCACTGTCTTGTAGTAAATGGTTTACCAGTTAAAGTAGTTGATGAAGAATAATTAAGAATTGGTTTTTCCAAATGTATCCTCCAAATGTATCACCTCACTCACTATTCAAAAAATCCTATAGGCTTACTTATCCATAGTTTGCAAGGCAAAGATATCAAAGATATTGGAGATGTACCTTGGTGGTTAAGATGCTTGCCTTTAAATCCCAGGGTCCGGGTTCAAATCCTCGGACAGCGCAATATTTTTTCTCACTACGAAGAAACTTCTACGCTGATAAAGCATTATATTAGGCCCGGACTTCAGTTATTTAAGAGGGCCCCTAAATACCCTTCTAGGAGACGCTGAAGGGTTATCATCTATAAATTTGGTTTAAAAAAAGGTAGCTGAATTGAGTAGTCATATAGTATTCAGTAAGTACAGTAAATAAGGAATCAATTTTTACAGTACTTTTAGGACTAAAGATATGATTTTATTCACGAGCTTTCGCCCCGATCATAATGGGTAGTAAAAGTCTTAATTCGTCTAAAGACGTTTCTCTCAGAATTCGTCTAAGGCGTTTCTTTTACATGGTTTTAAATTGTATCGATTGTATCGTAGATTTCGGATTTCACTCAGCTACAAAACGATTTGAAATGTAGAAATCAGGTAAATATAGATAGATAGAAAACAGCAGCTTTTTCGCACTGCGCCAGTGCCGATATCCACTGCCGTTTAATTTATCTCATAAAAACGTAACTTCCGGAATAACGAAGAAATATTCGTCGGAATAATTATTTCGTCATCAGCAAACTTGTACGCAGTAGTGCGACTCGACCATGACTCGACACAGGTTTCTGTGGTCAGCCTTACCCCAAGTATGGCGGGAATTTTTATGTTTAGTGTTTCGTATGACAGCATAGCCGTCGGAAGCATTTTGCAAATGGTCCGGCCATTAAAGTGAGAGCGGGGTTTGGGAGTTGGGGTGGCACTTAGCAAATCTGGTAGTAACTGAAAAGTGGAGACCCACTACATACACC